TAGCACAGAAGCTAAAACACCACATTTTACTGTCCCTGCTCCCCACTCTTTTAGCATCTCGTTAATTCTGGTGCATAAGGGATAAAATGTACAAACAGTAAATGCTTTTCAGCACAGCCTGGTGTAATGTGAGACTATCTGGGAATGAGAAAATCTGGCCCAAAGGGGGAACTCAGGGACTAGCAATCACTCTGCTAACGGGAGGTCGGGGGCGGGGGGGTCAGAAACTGTGTTCCCTGCTGGCTACACAGCTGCACAGCAGGCTATTGAGGGCCGTGGAGACAGGCAGGGAGAGGATCCCCCCCCAGGCTTGGCCCAGGTCCACCGGAGCTGCTGGGGAGAGGAACCCCTCCCTCAGCCCAGCTCAGGACCACAGGAGCCCCCGCGGCTGGGGAGAGGTGCCTCTCACCCATCCTCGAGCTGCTGCTGGATCCTCACCCAAGCGATGGGCAGCTGGATGCTTGGGAGCCAAAAGCCCCTGAAGTGTGTGGGAACGAGGAAATGGGTTTGTTACTATGGCCTAGTCAGGGCCCTGAGAGAATTTCCCTGCTGTGTGGGGGAGTCTCTGATGTCCAACATGGTGTTAGCTGCACCTGGAGCATTTTCCGCACTGAGAACATCTCAGCGGTTTCTTCCCTGTACGGATTTCTAGATGCTTGATACTCCGGGAGCACCTAATGAAGCTTCCCCCACATTCAAGGCCTCTCTGCTGTGTGGGTCACTGAGGTGTGAAGTCAAATTGAATCTTTTTCTGCAGTCAGGCTATTCCTAGGGTCTCTCATACCTCTGTGGATTCTTGGTTACTGAAGTTTTTCCAACATGCCAAGCATTTATAAAGTCTCTCTCCTGTGTGGCTTGCCTGATGTGTAACAAGGCCTGATCTGAGCTTAACCCTTTCTTGTCATGTGTCACAGAAGTTTAGATCCTGTGTGGATTCTCCCATGTTTAACAAGGTCTGATCTCCGTTTGAAACTTTTCCCACAGTCCAGGCACTTATGAGGGCTCTCTCCTGTATGGATTGCTTGATGTCTAAGAAGGTGAGACCTCTGCTTGAAAGCTGTCCCACAGTCCAAGCACTTGTGAGGTCTCTCTCCTGTGTGGATTCCTTGATGTCTAAGAAGGTGTGACTTCTGCTTGAAACTTTTCCCACAATCCAAGCAGTTATGGGGTCTCTCTCCTGTGTGGATTACCCGATGTTTAACGAGGTCTGACCTGCGCTTGAAACTTTTTCCACAGTCCAAGCACTTACAGGGGTTCTCTCCTGTATGGATTGCCTGATGATTAACAAGGTCTGATCTCTGTCTGAATCTTTTCCCACAATCCAAGCAGTTATGGGGTCTCTCTCCTTTGTGGATTGCCTGATGTTTAACAAGGTTTGACCTCCATATGAAACTTTCCCCACATTCCAAGCACTTGTGGGGTCTCTCTCCTGTGTGCATTGCCTGATGTGTAGCAAGAGATGATCTCCATGTGAAACTTTTCCCACAGTCCAAGCACTTATGGGGTCTCTGTCCTGTGTGAATTGCCAGATGTTTAATAAGCGCTGATCTCGTTATAAATTTTTTTCCACAGTCAAAGCAGTTATGGGGTCTCTCTCCTGTATGGATTGCCTGATGTTTAACAAGTTTTGACCTCCCTGTGAAACTTTTCCCACAGTCCAAGCACTTATGGGGTCTCTCTCCGGTGTGGATTGCCTGGTGATTAACAAGGTCTGATCTCCGCTTGAAACTTTTCCCACAGTCCAAACACTTATGGGGTCTCTCTCCTGTGTGGATTGCCTGATGATTAACAAGGTCTGATCTCCGCTTGAAACTTTTCCCACAATCCAAGCACTTATGAGGGCTCTCTCCTGTATGGATTGCTTGATGTCTAAGAAGGTGAGACCTCTGCTTGAAACTTGTCCCACAGTCCAAGCACTTGTGAGGTCTCTCTCCTGTGTGGATTGCTTGATGTCTAAGAACATGTGACCTCTGCTTGAAACTTTTCCCACAGTCCAAGCACTTATGGGGTCTCTCTCCTGTGTGGATTACCCGATGTTTAACAAGGTCTGACCTCCGATTGAAACTTTTCCCACAGTCCAAGCACTTATGGGGTCTCCCTCCTGTGTGGATTGCCTGATGATTAGCAAGATCTGATTTGCGTGTGAAACTTTTGCCACAGTCCAAGCACTTATGGGGTCTCTCTCCTGTGTGGCTTTCTTGATGTGAAATTAGTGCTGACTTAGAACTGGAACATTTCCCGTACTCGAGGCAAATGGGCTTCTCTCCAGTGTGGCTTCTCCCATGGTTATTAAGATCTGAGCGGTTACTGAAGCTTTCCCCACGGTCCAAGCACTGAAGGGGTTTCTCTCCAGTGTGGATTGTCTGATGTGTCACAAGCTGTGATCTCACAATGAATCCTTTACCACACTGTAGGCAGTGCCATGGTGTCTCCTTCTTGTGATTTGTCTGCTGCGCGATGGGATCCTTGTCTCCTCCCCCACAGTTAATAGATTCATCCTCTTTCTTCCCTGGGTGGCTTTCCAGCAGCTTCTCTGACCTGTGCCAATTTCCCCAGGCTTCTCCCTGTTCCACGCACTGGGAAAAATTCCCTTCAGCTCTTCTCACAAATGTCCCCTGTGGTTCCACTTCCCCAGGAACTTCCTCATGATGATTCCCCTCCTGCTTCTCACTCCCTCGCTCAGCACCTGCTGGGAGAGAGACAATCCAGACAGGAGGCATTGTGTTGGGGAGAAAGAGGAATAGCACAGAGGGAAAACCCAACACAAAGACTGAGCAATTGGATTCTGCCTCCACATCCCAGCCAAATACTCACAGGGAAGGAAATTCCTGCAGCTAACAGAATGAGTGGAAATTCGTGAGCGATATCTGCTGACTACAGTCCTGCCCTGGGTGAGATGAGGAAGAACGGAGGACACTCACTCACACCGTATTTTGGGATTCTCAGCTTTTCCTTTCATTCCCCAGACGGTTTCTGTGTCAGTCCTCACCTGTATGGGTGCCTCTTGGGATCTCTCTTTCCTCGCAGGCCTGGAGATCAGGCACCCACGGCTCTTCCCCTCGTTCCAGCCGGGTGATGAGCTCAGGTTTGGGAATGGGAAATCCTGTGCAGAGGGTGAAATCAGACCAGATCAGGGTGCATGGAACATTGGTGGAGTATTTGTCAGAAAGGACATTCCATGAGTGGAACGTTTCCCTGTGCTCTGCTGCAGAAACATGGAATCCAGGAGGACGGGAACATGGTCACTGAGCCCCCTTGCGCAGAGGAAGTTGTCTGGGGAGGTGAGTTGAATTATTACTACACCCTCACTAGGTGTTCCCAGGATCTGTGCACTCTGGGAGCCTTGCTGACTCACACACAGCTCTGGACTTAAGCCCCTGCCTCTTTCTAAACCTGCAGAGCCCAGAGCCCTCCCCATGGCTGGAGCTATTCCCAAGGAGGGAGGTGAACAGGGATTGTGTGTGCAGCTGAGAAACAACACAGACAGGCCAATGCTGGATTTATGCCCCTTTGAAAGCTGGAGGGGGGGGGTGGTTTAACTTGTCCATTGAGTTTTGACACCCATGTGCCACTGGAGAGGGCACGGAGATGCAAATCTCTTTCACATGGCAGCTGTGCATTATGGAACCCATTCGCCTCTGATCTAACTGACCAGGGAAGAACCTGACCCGATTCAGACACGCAGACCCCACGGCTTCTAATAACCGAGGGGACGGGAATCCCTTACCCAGTGAGGTCACTGTCTCATAGTTCTCCTGCATGACGTCCCTGTAGAGGGCTTTCTGAGCGGGGTCCAGCAGAGCCCCCTGCCCCTGGGTGAAATACACAGCCACCTCCTTGAAGGTCACCAGCCCCTGAAACAAGAAGAGTCCCCCACTCAGCACCTGCTGCCCCAGCCACAATCCCACTACCCATGGGAAAGAAAAAAAAACGTGAAGCTCTGGGAGGGCCAGAGTAGCAGAATCCCACCCGCACACTGCTCAGAGCACCTAGGAGGCTTCAGGGGGTGGGGAGAAGGTGAGAGCTCCTTGTTCCGTCCCCCCCGCAGCACATGGAGCAGGGCAGAGTCTTCTCATTTCTCACACGCCTGCCAGCCACAGGCTGATACGGGAAGCAGAGCTCTGAGCCGGGGACAGGGACAGGAATCCCAACAGCTTCCCTTCATAATTCACAGCAGCCTCTGGCTAATGCAGTGGCCCTCAAACTGGTGACCCCTTTCACATAGCAAGCCTCTGAATGCGACCTCTCTTATACATTAAAAACACTTTTTTATATATTTAACACCATTATAAATGATGCAGGCAAAGCGGGGTTTGGGGTGGAGGTTGACAGCTTGCGACCCCCCATGGAATCACCTCGTGACTCCCTAAGGGGTCCCAACCCCCAGTTTGAGAACGCCCGGGCTAGTGGGGTCAGACTCCAGCACTGGGAGCCTGGAAAATGTTATATTCTAGGGGTTATATTCTGTTTGAGAAATGGGGGAATGTCCCCTCCCCCATCCCCCGCCACCAATGGGCATACTCAGAAAATCAGTAGGTTTATCACACCCTGTCTCCTCCCTGCCCCCACCCAGCAGCTCCCAGAAAATCCCCTACCTGAGCTGGCTCCATCACAGCCATTTCCCTTCCCTGTCTCCTGGAAGACGGGCCAATCTGGAGCGAAATGGGGACGTGATTCCTCAGCCTGTCAGGGCGAGAGGGGCGATGGGGGAGGTTACAGAAGGGGCTTCAGTCCATGTCACACCCCGGTTCCCCCCCAGACTCTTCAGTAACCGTCCCAGTAACAGCATCTCTGAGCCAAATGCTAGAAAAAGAGCAGAATCAAAGGGGCCACTTTGAGGGATTGCCCCCATTGCAGTGTAAACCCCTCTCCCTTAGCAATAGCCGGAGCCCTCTGGTGGCAACACCTGAACAATGAGCTGCTCTGGACTACCCCAGCAGCTCCAGGGACAGGAGGATAGAGGCTGATCCCATTGGCCCATCTGCACTCTCCCATGGCCAGAGCCAGCAGTGACTCCGGTCTGACACTGGTATGGCTGAGATCTGAATCCTGCAGGGAAATCAGACCAGGGCCCCAGGCAGCCCCCAAAACTCAGGACACACAGACCCCACCAGCTCGTGTGTGTCTGACAATGATACACATGGAGCAGGGTATGTGGGGGGGGGGAGAGGGGGTCGGGGTTTTTGCCTTGTAGCTTCTGCGCCCCGAGGGGTTAGTGCCCCAAAGCCGGTTTGACCAGTTCCAGGAGAAGAGCTTCTCTCCGCCCCTGCCCCCTTGTGTCCCATGGGGCGGAGAAGCTGCCTTGTCATCTCCCCCCCCTTCCGCCGCCAGGCTCCCCACAGCCCCCTTCCCTCGCAGTGCCCCCCCTCACATCTTCCCCCATTCCAGCCTCGCTCCCCTCAGCCCCACAATCCCCCCGATCTCACTGCATCGCCCCATCTTTCCTTCAGTGCACCCCCGCCCCCATCCCAGCCTGCTCCCCGCACTCCCAGCACCCGCCTCCTGCCTCCACCCCGCTCCCCCCGCCTGCCCTCACCCCCCTGCACCTCTTTATCCTCCTCCCCCTGCAGCCCGGCTGTGACGGGGGGGGGGGTCTCTCTTACCTTCCCTCCGCGCGGGCCCCCCTGGGGCAGGGGCCGGGCCGGGAAGGGGCCTGGCCGGGCTGGGGGCTCTGCCCTGGGAGAGGCTCCTGGGGAACAGCGGGAAGGGCCCTGCTGGAGATTCCCCTCTCCCGGCTGCAGCCAGGGCTACGGGCTCCCAGCACCAGCCGCCGGGGCTCGGGGATCTCGCTGGGAGCCAGAGTCACCGCAGCGGCTGCGAGTCACTTCCTGCTGCCGGGCCTAAGCCCAGCGATCGCTCCCCCCAGAGCCGCCTCCCAGCTGCTCCTGGGTCCTAGCGATCAACCCATCACTCTGCAGCCCCCCTGCCCCCGCACCCTGGGGATCCACCGGCCCCGGGCTCAGGCAGCTTCTCCCAGCATTAAGGGGGCATCCTGCATAGAAACGTCTTCTGTCAGCATTCAGTCTCGTTTGCAGCCTCTCGGCAGGAGAAATCGGCCCGTCTGAGCCGTGGCAAACTTCTCTTCCCATTGGGCTGGCTAAGGCCTTGCTCTAACCTGCCTCTTTGGTCACAGGCTACCGGCACTGGTGCAAAACGTCTGGTTGTCTCAGCTGGCTGGGCCAGATTTGTAAGGGAGAGAGCAGAAGTGGGGTCTGGCATAATAGTTTAGACCAGTGGGAAGGAAACAGATGCATGAGGGGAAGACTGGCAGCAGCACCTCAAGTCTCACATGCCAGGGGGAGTTCAGGATTTAGCTGAAGCAGTTGAGGATGTCGGCTGGTTCCCCTTCTCTGGTTTGCCCTGCTCAGCTTCCCTTTCAGGATCAGGATGATGAAAGCCCAATGGTGCCATGCTGGGTCCCAGGAGACAGCGGGTGTGAGACATACCCCAGGGTACAATCTGGACTGTTGAACTGCTTAATTCTCCATCCCAGGACATGTTTTACACTGCTGCCCTGTGTGAACAACAAACCCCTCCTCGCTCTGCTCCCACACAGCCACCAGCCTTCAAAGTCACTCCTGGCTGCACTGTACTGAGTGCGACCAGCCAGACACTCAGGAACTTACCAATCAACACAGCAACATCAGCCAGGTTTCTACTCCCAGTCTGTTCGCTGTGGCTGGACAAACTCAATAATTAGTTGGTCATCCCCACAAAGGGGCCTGATTAGGCCACAGCCTTGTTCTCTCAAGTCAAATCCCCCCGAAAAATTCAATGAAAACACACAGTCCAGACAAAACACTAAATTGGAACAAGGGGGTTTTCAGGGATTACAAGGGAGAAAGATGTAAAAGGTCAGAACTGGTTAAAAAAAATACAATTTAAACATGCATTTTAAATCCTAAATATTACTAAACTAAGGAAGATGCGAAGCAAACAGGATTTCCCATCCCACCCGCTGTTGCAGGCAGTTCACAGTTCTTAGTACCCAGACTGGATTTCCTTCCAGCGTTGGTCCGTCCTCCCCAGTCCAAGGCCCCTGTTGCCTTTCAAGCCATCTTGTTGCCTTCTGTAAAGATGGGAGAGGAGAGGTGAAAATGGAGGCAATTCTCCCTTGTGCTTTTGAACCACTCTCCTCTTTGAGGTTCACCCCCCAGCTGAGGGGCAGGCGACAATCAGTCTGTGGCCTAAGTGAGTGTCCAGCCATCCTTCCGGTGAATTGTAACTCTCTTGTTCCCAGCTCCACAGCTGGTGAATGGCCGGCTGAGCAATTAATGGCCACATAGCACCTAGCTGGTGTGCAGATACCATTGTCTCTGGGGAGCTCGTCTGTGGGCGTTTTCCAGCTTTACAGCATGTAACAAACATACAGCGAACTCTCAGAGCTCCATAGACAATGTTGATAGACACATTTTAACGGGGCAATAACATTCAGCAGACGATGACTTTTCCTATGATACCTCACAAGACATACTTTGGAGAAGATTTATCATTTTGTAAAAGTGGTGACCATAATACTGAGGGCTTTGGGTTCTGGCGTGTGGTGGTCGGAGCCTTGGGTAGAAGGGGCGGAGCCGGCAGGCTAGCCTCCCCAAAACAGGGGTTCGCACGCCACCCATGGTAGGTGGTAAGGTTGTGTGAGGACAGAGGCACTGTCAACTCCATGGTTTTAGCACAATGTGGGAGAGT